AGCGAACCGGAAAAGCTTCTGCCGATCACAATTCAACGGCGGATTATGAAAGAACGGATAACGCTCGAAACGCGCGGATTCTTCCTGATGTAAGAGGTGAGTCTCCGCTTTGTTTTGGTTGTTTTGGCGTCGACATCATCCTAGCGCGCAACGTTCTGTGAATCTTAAAAAAAAACAGTAAAAACGGTGAGAAACGCTGGCAGCGAAGGGCTTTACCAATCAGGAAACAGCTGGCAGTGAATGAGTTAATACATGATAGTTTATGTCAGCTCATATACTATCGTGCTTTTTGTCTTTTGTGCCTGATGCGCTGCAGTAGCCTGGCTTGCCAGACTCGTACTCTGTTCAATTCTGCACAGAGAAAGAGTCTAGTAACTCGCCCATGCAAATAACCACACCCCCTGAGAATACTAACCGAGCCAATCAGCACTGAGCAGAGTACATCTGGTTACTAAAAGGCAGAGAGGCACATGAGAGGCGGGATTAACCATCTCAAAAATAACCAATCAGAAAAAAATGCGGAAATGCCGACTGTACCGCTGTAGCCTTTTAGATGTAGTCAAAATGGCGCCTGGCGATGGCGCTAACATCTTTCTTTAGAAGAAAGGCTTTTAGGGGTTCTTTCTGTTGTGTTTTTAAAGACATGTCCGCGGCGAACTCCACTTCAAACGCCATCTTTGTTGTTTATGAGAAACTGAGTGCCGCGGTGTGAGACATACGCTGCTCAGCGCTGATTGGCTCAGTTAGAATTAAACAGAGGACAAGTCTGGCAGGCCAGGCTAGCGCTGCAGAGCGCATCACCTTTCTTGTGCTTCGGTACCACAACGTCTTCCTGCGATGTCCGTGAGGGCGCCCAGGGTTGGTTGGCGTTCCTCCCATAGATATGTATATAAACACGTGTTTATATACATATCTATGGTTCCTCCTACGTCCGTCACAGCAGTGGGTGGAGTTTGAGCCGGTGAGCTTGACCGACTTCCGGGGAGGTTTGTTGAGATGAACGGCTCTCTACAGGGACTCGGCTCTCATCATTCACTCTGAAAACCCGTTCAAAAGATTCGATTCGTTCGTGAACGTCACATCACTAAAAGGGGGAGCAGTTACAGTGCAGAAGGTGCAGCATAAGGAACAATCATTCAAAGGCTAATGAATGCATGAAAGTTTTCAATGTTTTTATTTAAAAGTTGTTTAAAGAGTTATCTGAAAAAAGTTCACAAGCTTTTCAGAGAAACCCACTTCAAAATATCTGAACTAGGGCTGAAACGATTCCTCGAGTACCTCGAATTATTCGAGTACAAACAATCCTCGAGTCAAATTATCTGCCTCGAAGCTTCGTTTAATTCATGTTTAATTAATTCATGGCATAGCAATCGCCCGGGGTCATGTTTCACCCGGACCGAAATAAGTGACGCACATACACACTGCACTGAATGCACACGCGAGTAGCGAGCGCAACTTAACTTTCTCTTAAGCCATGGCGGAAAACCTGAACCCCGGTGGAGTGCGAAAAAGACACAAAATGTCAAAGGTGTGGGACCATTTTTCACTTCATGAGGCGGAAAACGTCGTCCAGTATAAATACTGTAAAATGGATTTAGCCTACCACAACACCACATCCTCCATGCTGCAACCTGACCAGGAAACATCCACATGTAAATGTCACTTCTGCAAGCGGACTCGGAGCCTCTACAAGATAATGCATTTTAGCCTGTATTTAGTTTCAGCTCACACCGTACGTCTGGTAGCAACACGTCGGACTTAAAATGTGCTAAAAATAGCAGTTTTTACAACACGTCGGACTTTTTACTGTGTTGTTGTTGATGTCAGTTGTCCCTCAGGATCGCTGCAGGAGGACACGGGTATTTATGAGTGGCGGAGGAAAATGAAAGAAAGTAAATAAATGTTTTGTGATCAGTATAATTTGACGTAACCACGGCAAACATGCTTTCGACAATCCTTGTTAGCGTGAGACAAAAAAAAGTGTAGAAATTAAAACGAAAGTGCGTTAATAGGGAAACAGCTGGCGAGCCATGTTTGCGCATGCGCCGTGAGCGGTTCTGGTGCTGTTTGGGTCGCAGCCGCTCGCATTTGTTTACTGCAGGGTTTCTCAACCTTTTTCAGCTAAACGCCCCCCAAGTCATGCTGAAATCCCTTACTGCCCACCAATGTCCCATGCAGAGAAACGGAAAGTTTTTTGATACAAAAATCATTTAAAAAAATTCAGCCCTGAGTTTGAAATAGTTTCATACAAATATGTCATTTAAAAAAGTATCATAAAAAAGTGTTTTTAGCTATTAGCAACGAGATATCTTAGGAAGCTATAATCCTCGGTCCAGTAAATTTGAGCTTCGAGCAAACATACTGCTAATGCTACCTCTCTTAGAGTGTCTCTCTTTAATTACCTGAAAATAGTTCAGTTCATTTGAAGCTTTGTCTGGATGCATTTTGGACAAGTGCTCCTTAAGCCGGGAGGGTTTCATTGCTTCGTTTCAAAAAACTTGTTCACAAAGCAGGCACATGGGGAGTTGTGGATTCGTGGGTGAAGGAATAAATCCATACTGAAGGTAGTCCACATTGTACTGTCAACACTTCTTTTTATTCTGAGCCATTGTCTGTTATGAATGTCCTGTATCGCTAGCGTCCACCATTAGCATCTCAGCACCCCCTTCGAGTAGCTGCCCCCTTCAGTGGCAAAAAACTTTCACCGCCCCCTTATATAGTCTGAACGCCCACTAGGGGGCGATACAGCCCCCGTTGAGAAACCTGGTTTACTGTAAAGTAAAGTTGAAGTGCCGAAGTTTTGAAAACTCATTTTGAATAAAATTTGAAGAATAACTGGCAATTGCTTTCTCATTTTAAGAGGTCTTTCATATTTTATAACATGTTATTTGATATAATGGTTTACAAACGCAAAAGAGTAATTTATTAGAGTACTCGATTAATCGATACAAGATTCGATACTCGATTACAAAAATATTCGATAGCTGCAGCCCTAATCTGAACTATTACTTGAAGCTACTTTATGTCTCCTACTGTACCAAACACCGAAAGACTACCTGTCCACTACTTAGATTACAATAAATCAAACATTTCCTGCCTTGAAGGTTTTATGAGCACAAAAGTTCTGGTTTCTAATATTTTAAAGCGTGTAACTGCATGTTTAAAAACCTTTGCCGACAAAAATGCTGCAGCCTGTTCAGACAAAGGATCCAGACAAAAAAACCTCCAGGAGAAATCTACCAGTTGGAGTTATAGCTTTGAGCAGCCACAGTGAAGTCAGAGCTTTGAGACGGCAACATCACACGCCCAGCTGAGCAGAAAACACACACAGCACATTTGGAAAGGGAACACATGGGACGAGGAGTACACTTGTGGACAATGTGGAACATGTGGCATCTAAAATTAAGTTTGATTTGTGATTGTGTGCATGAAGATGAGTGGGTGGCAGAGGGCTGTGGATTAGATGATGGGAACTCCACAACCAGATCTGTACATCATGAAGAGGATGTGGCCACCGCCACAATCCCTTAGTTAATGGAGTGTGTGTGGACGAATGGGCACTGGGGTTCACCGACACTCAGACCAAAGCCACACGCCTCTGCACTGACAGTAAAAGGCCAACTCTACTTTGATTTTATCTCACTTGCTAAAAAATATGAATGAAATGGTCAAATAAGTTTAAAGCAATAGCTCTGATCTCTTCAAATGGTGTGCAGATGAAAATAACAGCTGGATTATCCTTCGTGCTAGGGATTTGGAGATTAGTTATGTCTGAATTGATGAACTAATGGCTAGTAATAAAAACCAAGATGCAAAGTAAATTAATCCCCTCATAAAGCAACTCTAATCTCAAAAATATCACAATGAACGCTAATTCATGAACCTTTCATCTGTTTTACATTTTTCACTTGGTAGATTTTCAACTAAACTCAGAGATTATTTGAAAGCAGGGTTTCAAAAAAAGCACTGGCTGGACATGATGGAGAAGGGTCGGAGACTTTCAGTTATTCGTATTGATAATATGTCAAAATATATGAGATCCACTGTCTAATAACTTAATTATAGTCAAGAAAACTATGTAAATGACATCATATTCTATGTTTTTATACATATTCTAGAAACACTTTGAGCCTAACCTCTTACTGGTCAGAACAGAGTTTGTGATTTATGACCAATATGTTTTCCATATGCAAGAAATTGCTTCAAATCTGTTTCATTCACCACCTTAAACAAAAATTAGAGTTACTATAATAAATAAAGGACAAAGTACATTCCCCATTCGTTTTAAATGGAATGCACATTTTTAGTTTTTCTTATCATTTTATCAATACTTATGAAGTGGTCTCTAGTAGGAAGGAATGCCATGGAAGTTGTCTGCTGGGGAAAAAGTGGTGCACCATTTTCAAGAACTAGAAGTGAGCCACATCACAGCTGAGCTTCCGACGGCAGATTTTGGACTCTTATTTCCTGATATTTTGACATCTCGCCTCGGATTGTATAACAGCAACGCAATTCAACCACGGATCTGTTTGCTCTGTAATGTTGATGTTTTATCTCCACAAATGACACAAGCCTGAAGGACTTCTGTGTGGTGGAGATGCTAATGCTAACGTTTAGCTTCTGCTAGCCGAGATGTGCTCTGCTGTTTCCTGGGTGCTAAACCAAAAACAGCCTTCTTCATTGTGAGTCAAGATTGGTGAGTCCATGAATGTGAGTGACAGTGTGATGTAGATCTGTCAGGATCTTCAAATCTTTTTTTTTTTTACATTCAAGACCTATAACAACAATCTAGCTGTTAGCTCATCAATCCAGTCTGGAGAAATCTCTAAACGGAGCTTTCTACAACAGGTAAAATATTCATTATTCTCAGGATTTTCCATAAAAACCCACAACCAAACAGATTTTAAAACTATCTGGAATTGGACGTGTCATCACACACAGAATCCACTATAAGCTACAATTTGATAATCTCTAAATAGGAGCAGCAGATTACGGTTTACCTCAAAAACTTCTTCATCAAGTATTCTTGTTCCAAACACTATAATTCCTTTAGTATCAATGATGGGGTTAGGGCTTCGGAGCAGCTTCTGGGTGGCCTTCTTTTTACAGTCCAAAATGAGGGTGATGGTGTCCTTGTGTACACTGATGGCCACTCGATGCCACCTGGAATGAGAGGTGAAGTTTGTTCACACGCTTACAGGGTTACACGGTGCTCGATTACAAAGAACGTGCATGCTCGTGGCCCCTTCTGGGTTCATCTGTTCTAATTCAAATGCATCTCACTCGGGTTTCATCTTGTAACTTTGACAAATTGAACAGAAACTTATATCGAGTAGAAAAAATACAATCCCACAACAGAAGCAAGCCTGTGCATCTGACATGACTCTGATTAGAGGCCAAACATAAAGCAGAGGCGTTCAGCTCGCTTTAAAGAGCAAGTCACCCCCAAATAAACTTTTTTTTTGCTGATAAACTAAATAAACGAGTGTCTAATCATGCTGCAGACACGTCGTCAATAATTTGGCACTTCAGTGCATCTTAGTTAAAATTTAAATATTCTGCCTAAAACTGGCAGTGTTGTGCCGTTGTCAGGTAAAGACTCTGCACTGTATTTTAATTTAAATCTGCCACCGCTATTGGCTAAGAGGTATGCTATGATGTAAACTGGAACATTATGATGTCACAATGCTGGCGTGAGCCTGAGTGTGTGTGTATTTGTTAGTGGCTCCGCCCTCTCGGTCTGCCAGGCAACAGCATGTGTTGCATTTTTCAAACATGAAGTGGGAGTGGAGTTAGACTCAGGTAGGGGGTGACCTGCTCTTTAAAGACCAAGTTTGCTGAGAAACCATTTTTATTTATTTTTGAAAATGATCGCTCACTCTGAGTTTAACATGCAGGTTGAACATAACAATAGTCTTCTACCCCTATTTCCTGCATTATTGTCCGGTATAGACGAGGAAACGCTTGGTTCAGAAAAGCCTGACAGATCTACGTCACAACATTTATGGACTCACCCATCCGTCGTTGGTTTAGTGTCTAGGAGAGGGCAGAGAACATCTTAGCTAGTAGAAGCTAACCGCTAGCATTAGCAACTCCACCGTACAGGAGAACTCCTTCAGGCTTGTGGTAAAACATCATCGTTGCAAGGCAAACTGAGTCTGTGGTAGAGTCACGTTGCTGTTAGCTACTTTCTATGTCCTCAAACTGGCGCACCGGAGCTTTTTCTCCCTAGAGAACGACTTACAGGCCTGCTAGTGACTACAGCAAATTGGACTGAAATGTGAGTAAAGTGACCTTTAAAGAGGGCATGTAATTGTTATTTCAATACACCTGGCTGTAGTCTCCAGTATAAATAAATGTCTTGTGAGCCATTCTCTGGAGAAAAAAAGCTCTGGTGCTCCTGTTTCAGGAAGTAGTTGGTGGCAGAGTTTTGGAGTCTTGTTCATTATCATTCATGATATTCAGACATCACCCCTCTGATTGGCTAACAGCAATGTGACTGTTCCGCTGCCTCTGTTGATGTTTTATCTCCACAAATAACACAAGCCTGAAGGAGTGTTGTGAAGTTGGTAATGCTAACGATTAGCAACTACTAGCCCAGACACGCTCTGCTCTCTCCTGACTGCAAAAATCAACACATCCTTCCCCACTGTGAGACAAGATGGGTGAGTCCATGTATGCTAATTAACATATGGACGTAGAGCTGTGCGGGGCATACAGATCTACACAGATCTACAGGTCATGTGACCCAAGTGTTTCTCCGTCTATCTTCTATCACCGGCTAAGGCAGGAAGCCTAACCCTAACCCAGCATCCATATCAAACTCAGCATGACCAATCACACTTCAGAATGAACATTTCTCACTGAGCCTTCTCGTTGAAGTAAAGGAGCACTTACTTTCCATCAGCCAGGTTGACTCCTCTGAAGAGGGGATAGTCTTCTGGACTGGGTTTGCCTGTGTGGTCCTCGTACAGGAACACGGGGGACCGGCCCACTTCCAGACCAAGCTGCTGGATGCCTTGTTCATTGTACACAGACAGCAGGAAGGACTGGCTGCCCTTCTTGGGCTTTACTGTGGCCATGATGGAAAAATCCTCGGGGAAGGCATCACCTGGTTGCACGGGAGGGCAAGTTGGACACAGAGGGAGAAGTTTGTAGGAGCAGCAGTAAACAGTCATCATTGTCATAATTAGTTCAGCAGACTCAAACGTCAAAAAGGGATGATGTGTTATTGTAACTCAAACGGGGAATAATCAGCTGAATTTGATAAACTGGTAGAAAGAAAACAAATGAAAGACCAAAATGTAACGAGGGGATTAATCAAATAGAGCCTGGTCAGAGAGAGAGAGAGGAAGTGTGTGTGTGTGTGTGGGGGGGGGGGGAGAGACAAGGCAGCACAGGATGAGAAGCTTTAATGACAAAAACATGTGATCCTGGGAGACTTAGTGAAACTATCCGTCAAATTCCTCCCTGCTTCACTCCGAGCTGATGCATCTAACAGACGGGAACCGAGAAGAGCACTTTCCTCTTTCACAGGAGAAATAATTCAACACACATTTATCTGGAAATAGAAATACCCACCGTATGTTGGTATGAGAACACATGAAAGAAATGAAAAAGATCTGTTAGCCTCCGTCTGCATAGTTCCACTCCATGGCCTCAACTATTTCCTCGGCTTTGCCAAAGAATGAGACGAATTTTCCAGACTGATATTCTTACCGGTGCCGACTCAGTGGCTCACCAAAAAATCTAAATCAAAATAAAAGTTCAGTTTTCCACATTCAAGAAAGCGATGAAAGAGATATGTCTGGAATTTTCACTTTAAAAAAAGTCATCAGACCGCATCAATGCCACTTTTGTCATTATGAGAAACATTGCTGTGAAATCTGTTTAACACAAGCAAAAAGCCCCTTGGTCCACATCTTCTGCTCTTTAGCATGTGGGCAGCAGAGGTTTAAGGAGCAGCAGAAAAGAGACGTGAGGTTGATTTGAGGTTAAAATGATATTATAGCACCATGAAAGCCCCTTTAACCTGCCCTGCTTCTGAGTAATGAGAAAAAAGCTGGAAAATGCTAAGCTGCGGTAACTCCTGATTGCTCCTTGATAGCCAGTCATGAACTGCAGAAGAAACGTGCTTTAGGAAGAATAGAAAGCAGAAACCTCAGAAACTGAATTTCCTACCATCACTCTCTAACTTCCCCCCACCTTTTCATTATCTCTGCCTGTCGGCCTTAGGAAGCTGGCTTGCCTTCCTGTTGTGTCTTCCTGCCTTTTGCTGTCATCCTGGGATCAATGCTAACCATCAGATCACATCATGAGGGGAGCACACTGCCTTGGCAGCAAACTCCCTTAGGATTTCTGCTCCACTTCAAAAGAAAGACTGTTTTAATTGATGGATGTTGAACCAGGGTAGGACAGACCTGACACGGAAGAGACTGCATGGGGCGGTGAAACATCTATGTGTGAATCAATGTTATTATAAAATGGAAAAAAATAATAATAAATGCACCACAGCTAACGAGATATTTGTGTGTGTGCATGCGTGTGTGAGTGTGTGCATGTTAGTATGAAATGTCAGCAGAGAAGTGAAAGGCTGCTCCTCATTCCAGTTTGCTGCTCCAAACGACTGGAATGAGCTGCAAACGTCACTGAAGCTCACGACCTTCAGTCATTCATTGCAATCAATAGTTTCTGATCAACGTGTCTGCTTCTGAGTCCTTAAAGACGGTTTCGGGTTTGTTTTGATTATTTGTGCATATAGTAAATGAGAACAGTCCTTTGTCTTTATGTCTAACTGCTTGACCTTATTTTTATCTTATCTGTTTCTCTTTGATGTAAAGCTAATTATATTTCTGTTGCCGCTGCCTCTTGGCCGGACCGTCGTAAATGAGAACGAGTTCTCAATTCACTCATCTGGTTAAATAAAGGTTAGAAAAATAAGGTTTCGATAACTTTATAAACCTCTCTGTTATAAAACTGACATTCAAATGCCACCCAACTGGTGAGCAGACTGATCGTAAAAGTCAGCCGTGTAGGAGCTACAACCAGAGAAGTAACCAATGCAGACAGCAAACCACCGACATACAAAACATCATTTGGTCAGTCCTCATTCTCATTTAGAGGGCATCAGATCTGGAACTATCTACCATCAGCAATAAAACTGTTAAAGTGTACAACTATTAACTCCCTATTAACTCCCTATTAACTATTAACTGGTTCCAGTCACATGACCCTGTGTTATGTTTGTCTCTGAACTGATCCGCTCTGATTAGTACCTACACTGACTTGTAAATAGCAGCCGTTTCTCTTATTATTGTCACTTTATACTATTATTTTATCATGATTATATTCTTACTTCCTATATTTGCTCATTTCTTATTTTTATCTTTCTTTTTTGCACCAAGAACTGCAGCAATTTCCTAATGTTGGGATTCTCGCACGTGTGGCAACCTTCTGATTCTGGCCTATGTGAATGTGTCTCATCAACACGTTTTTCTGTGAGAAGGAAAAGTAAATCACATTTCAAGATTTTATCATTTCCACACCAACTTTACGATATTTGACTTTTCCTACGTTCAACAAGCTCTACCTCTAGAAAAACATTAGTGCATTCCTCAATGTCTTTCTGTGTTGCATCTATAAGTGTCTTCTGCCCTCTGGTGGACAATCTAAGCACTACACATGGCAGGCGCTAATTTTATTCTACTCTTCTTGTAGCTTTGATTCATATTTACACAATAAAATACAACAAATATTATTTTAATTGCTAAAACGTTAGAAGACAAATAGCCCAATTCTTCATCCTTATTTTCCGCCTCAGTTTTTAAAAGGTTTTAATAAATGTTGCACTATGACTGCTGGTGCCAACTTCTGCTGAACACAATAGGAACAAACAGTTCTTGAATCACTCTGTAATATTTATTGACAACAGTTTTTTTTCTGTCATGAATTAATCAGGAAGATTTGAATAGAACAGAACGTTTTCCTCTTTGGTTGTTAATGATTCACACGAGAAAAGCGAGATGGGTCTCCTCCGACGTCGGCCCCTCGGTTGTTCTTAAATGAATCATCTCTTCCACGTGTTTGCCTAATGATTGCATGTCTGCACTCGCTCTTTTCCAACATATCATCGCAGACCGTCTGTGGTTATTGGGTCACGGGCCAGCGTGTTCTCCATCGGAGCCGCTGTGGTTTTTATTACCATCATCATTATCACAACAAAAGAAGCACGTTTGCGTGCCTCTGGTTTTTGCCGTGTGCTCTGTGTGATTTTACTTCTGACCTTTTCACAGTGAGAGGATGCTGCACTGATCATTTAGATCAGGGGTGTCAAACTCATTTTAGCTCAGGGGCCACATTGAGGGAAATCTAGTCCCATGTGGGCCGGACCGGTAAATTAAAAACAACTTCAGATTGTTTTCTTTGTTTTAATACAATCAATATAAAACAAGGCTGGAGCCTGAGGACAGTGTATCCAAAATAGTACAACACCTGAAGTGTACTTGAAAATTTGAAAAAAAAAAATAAAATCAACAAAAAAAAAAAAATTCCTTAGTGATTCAAAGAGCTTACAGATCACATGGCTAGATCAGTTTCATGCAGCACTTAAAGTATATTTGACTCATTTTACTTTACATCGTTTAGCTTTCACCAGCACATCAATATCAGAAGTCACATCCTGAGTGGCGGCCAACTTCAGGATGTGATTCAAGTTCTTGTGAGAGCCTTGAGCGCAGCTTTTACTCATTACAGAGGAAACTTGCTCACAATGATAACTTTATTTTCACTCTACATTGTAAAGTATGAAAATAAAGTTTTCACAACCATCTCGCGGGCCGGATTTAACCCGCTTGCGGGCCGATCCGGCCCGCGGGCCGCATGTTTGACACCCCTGATTTAGATAAATCGGACTTTGGGCCAAAGTCGTAACTCTTAACTTTGTGAACGAGGGGGGGAAAGCATGGATAAAATGAGCTCAGAACGTCTAACTGACTTCTGGAATACATTAGCTGCACATTCTCATAACATCCAAGCAAGAAAGCGGACCACAACACAAACAGCGTAACTGGAGTTTCAATCCTCTGAGCCACAGACAGCTAGTTGGTGTGTTTGCACACTAAGACTATGAGATGCCTATTATGAACCCCGCAGTTGGTTTGTTTTATGTGGACTGTTATTTTGGATCATCCAGAGGGACATGTGTGTGTAATTATAGCATGTGTCTAAACAAAAAAAGGCCATATGGGGTTATGCAGTCATACGGCATCAAAGTGAGGAGTAGTTGTTTGATTGGAAAGCATGTAAGGGCATGCAGGCGGCAGAAGCCTAGTGGGTTCAGCTCTGAGCCCGGAGACGGAATCCTGCAGGATCAAAGATCCGCCGAGGCTGATGCAGCGTCTGACGGGACCGTGACGTGGGTTGTGATCCAGTTGGAGTTCAGCTCAAGCTTTAATGCCGTATCTAGATCACAGAGGCTTCTCGTATTCTGTCAGGACACAGAAAATATCTCCCAGCAGATAGAAGTAAGGTCAAACATGAATGAAGACGAGACTCAGGCGGGAGGAGGCGTGGAGAAATGATAAGAGGGAAAATTATGATGCTTCGGGGGGAAAGAAAAACAAGGGGAGATGGCTCGGGAGGGAGGAGACGGGGGAAAGTAGTATTGCAGAGCGGCAGAGCTGAAAGTTGTAGCCACGTCAGCACAACAGAACAAGGCTAAAGTGGAACCCAACCCCTCTTCCCTCCCAGTCTACCTCCCCAGTTTCACTGGTTTTCCACTGTTCTGCTCTATGGAAAAGTCTCATCTTTTAATCTCCCAAACTAAAACGTTTAACTCACATCTGCACCTACACTGTTTAAGACAAGAGGAGAGACAGTGTGAAGGTAAACCGAGGACACCTCCTGCTTCTGGTCTAAACTAAACTAAACTAAACTAAACTAAGCTAAACTAAGCATGGAGTTGATTCTATCTATAAGATTTTAACAAGCAGAAGGAGAAGCAACGACAACGGCAATTACATAACAGCATTACGGTCATGGAAAGGTCTAAAAAAGGTGTTTTTGAGCATGTTTGCTAATGGATTTTCAACATTCGGAGCTTTCTATAATCAGGTGTGCACGGAAGTGGTCCGCAGGTGCGCATGCGCTGTCAAAATAAACAACGCGCACCTGACAAAAAGCTGCAGCACGCATTTGCGCACCTAAGACTTTGTGAAGGAAGGAAGACATTTCTGGAGATGTCCAAGAAGCAAGCTCCATTAAGTAATTATTTTGGTGTTCCTCCGCCTCCAAAAAAAACGTCAGACTGAGTCGGAACCGCAAAAGAAAAGAGGATTCGCGGAGAAGTGGCTGCAGGAGGTCGGCTGGATTCAAACAAACGATGAACGCACAGAGACTTGGTGCAGATTATGCCGTGAAAATCCCACCCTGGCAGACAAAAACTGTGCCTTTTACATAGGCACTAAAAACTTCAATCATCCAGCGTTTGATAAACGTACTAACGGCAGAGAACATCAGAAAGTTGTTCGGGAAGTCAATAATGAAGCTGAACGCAGTCCGGACCATGATGATGAGGATGATGAGAGTCTGTAGAAATAAAAACGGCATTTATGCCATTTTAAAGACTTCAGTGTTCTGAAATAGTAATTTTGTTAAGTGCTTTAACATTTATTTGATTTGATTGTTGTTATCACAAAAGCAGCTGTTTACATGTTGTGTTTTACATTCAGAATATTCAGTCATGTTATTTGAAAATTAGAAGGTTTAAGTGAAGTTATATGTACCTGTTGTACTTATTGTTTTCAGACAAAATTAAAATATGTTGCATTGTCAACGCGTTACTCAGTTTTGTTCCTATTGTGAGCTGAGTTAAGAATTAAGTGCTTTAAAAAATGTGAGGACCAAGCAGCAACCATAGGTTCTCCCCTGAGTACCAACCCAAAAATATTATGTGCACCTCTGTATATAATTCAATAACCTCCAGATGTTTCATGTAAAGTTACAAATTCATCTTATGTCTGAAACTTGTACATCTGTTCTATTGTTAGCTTTTCAAAATACTGTTCTAATGTTAGTTTGGTGAAAAAATACTGGTGGGAGGTGTTCGTTCCATGTCTTGTGGTCCTGTTTCAGGGTTTATAGTGTTGAGAAATAAAACTGCAAGGCCCAAAATGCATCAGCACAGCCTGTGAAACATTGGCCTCGTTCGAGATGAGCAGCGCCTCGTCTGGAAAAGAGACGAGAGCAGTCGGACACAGCGGGGGGCGTGGCTAAAAGCCGGCCTTTCAGTCGGACAGATTTCCCTACATGTAGCTCGCGGGTGATGATGGATGAAGCATTCATATTTGTTTCACTTGTAATTTTAATTCTGGCGCCTGTTAGCAGCTGAAACACATCCTCGCATGCTTGTGGATGTCATAGATTGTAGACACGTGTCTATGAAGGTATGACTAATAATACGTAAAGGTTATCAGATGTAGATGTTGTGTGCTTATAGGAAATGTGACAAAAGAAACCCTGTTTGGCCTACATAGTTGTCATCATCAACGTAACACGGTTTACAGAATTCATGTGGTCAACTAACGTTTCGCATTCTGCCACTGGATGTTTGGATCAAAATGGGAACCAATCAGATCTTAGATCAGGTGAGAGCCAGGCGTTTCCCATCATGCCCTAGGGTTTTGCAGCCGGTGGAGAGCAACTGAAGCACCTCCCCAATCTGCTGCTGCCTTGATCTCACGAAGTTATTTGTTGCCTTTGTAGGCATGATGTCAGATGAAGTCGGCGTCAAGTCGGACACAAATCTAACCGGCATGCACCGCGCGCCGATCACCGGTGATCTAATCTGCGCAGGACTGTCTCATCTCGAACACGGCCAATCTGTTTTCTCTGCTCCAGATGGCGTGATTTAAATTATTTAGGGAATTCATTCAAAACTTTCCATTTATTTTATCCACTCCCAGCTGTTCTGTCATGTTAATTTAACGAAGTTTGGCCAAAAATATTCTGAATAATTGACGTAAAGGTGTGGGTGACTAATTTAATCAATACATTTGTACTGGTCTCTGGTAGTAATGAATGCCTTGTGAGTCATTCTCTGAGGGGGGAAAAAACGAATGCGCCTGTTTGAGGATTTAGAAGTCAGCCAGGGGAGAAGATGGCAGGATTTGGAGTCGTCTTTCCTGATATTTAGAAATCTTGCCTGTGATTGGTTAATAGCAGCACGTCTCTACAACTGACTCTGTTTGCATCGATGTTTAATTTCCACTAATAACACAAGCCTGGGGGCGTTCTACGATCTCCGAGCTTTGGTAGATCCTCATCACTTCATAATCCTGAATGATTTTATATCGTCGGATCGCATGGCCTTATCTGTTGGTGTTAAATTTAAGGGAGAAATGTCTAAGGCCCTGTCCACACGTAGCCGGGGATCTGCCAAAACGTAGATATTTTTCTACGTTTTGTCCTGTCATCCACACGAAAACGGAGTTTTTTCACACGAAAACGGATCTTTTTAAAAACTCCGGCCAAAGTGAGGATCTGCGTTTTCTCCGTTTTGGGTGTCTGCGTGTGGACGGACAAAACCGGAGTTTTAAGGTCCGCAACGTCACTTTCAAAAAAATGCTGACATCACGTGTGCGACCTGTGTTTACACTAGCTGACAGCATGGATGCCCTCAGAGCTGCGCTCGCTTTATCAATTGTCCAAGTGCTTTCTGCTTGTTTGTTTTTGCAAGCGGAATTACTGCTCCTTGCGGAAGACCACAGACGAAGGACGAGGTTACGAACGGGGGAAGTACTGCCGCCTACAGGTCTGGCATGTCCTTAACAACGTATTTATCCGGGTACGTGTGGACAGAGTTTTTTAAAACGAGGTGGTGTGGATGCAAGTTTTTGGAGGGGCGGATATTCGTTTTTAAAAAACCCGGCTACGTGTGGACTAGGCCTAAATGATTGTGTGAGTGAAATAGTGGGATGATAAAAATAATTATAACATAAATTGAGATTAAATTTGCAGTCTGGTAACAAGCATCCAGAAAGGTATTAACAGATTTCACATATTCCAGAATTATTTAATATTTTTATGATTTGGAATGATTGTGATGCATTAAAATGCGTTGCTATCTTTCACCAGTGTCTTAAAACTGAACCATAATGGTCTTCAAAGGACTTTAAATTTCATTTACCTTGCAGAAACCCATCCCCCCCCCCCCCCCCCCTTTGGTTAATTTCAGAATGTTCAGTTGGTCGACTCACCTGGGTAAAGCTGTTTGGTTGGGGCGCTGAGCTGGGCGTCTCTGGATACTCTGTAAGCCACATCGGGTCCTTGTGACGACCTCCTATGTGAACAGAAACCCGTCGTTCTTGTAACACCCTCAGGTAAATTGTGAAAATCTAAAATCTTCAAGAGGTCAGCTGGTTCCGCTACGAAGAGAAAGAGACATAAAGAAAAAAAAAAGGTGTTAGCTTTATGAAGAAAACTTGTTGCAGTATAATTTTAGTCCGAACACATTTCTTTCACCATTTGGTCCATTTTCTTTCGTCTGCTGAGTCAGAAAGTGGAGTTACTCAGCAGGACAATTCACAGATGTGGTTCAGAGAAAATTTATGTTCTCCATTTAGGCGCTAAGGAGAGATGTGCCCATTTATAGGTTTCCATGATCATGGGTTACAGCTGCACAAAAAACCTCATCTTTCCAACCAATTCACAGCAAAGTCCACCGCTGACCCACTCTGACCACAACCGTGCAATTAGCACACTCCCAGGCCGGCCGCCTTGGCTGTAACCGGGCCACCACAGAGGTACAGTGGGTCAGAACAATGTGACATGGAGTTTGACCCAGGACCGCAATGTCACATGCCAAAACCATCCAGGACAAACAGCTGTTCTTGCAGCCAGAGACACACATAACAAGCTACACGATGACAAGCAGCACGTCTCGTCTGAGTGAAGATCTGAACAGGGAGTACTAAAAATGTTAACAGCAACAACAAAAAAAGCCTTAGAAAACAATATTTTAGGATGAAAATATCAAGAATAAAAGTCTAAATCTAAAAGGAGACCTCACAGTCCCTGTAAATACTTCAAAACGTAAACGTTTAACAGCCACATCCATTTAAGAGAGAACAGTGGGTTAAAAGGTGAGGAGATGAACAGGCACAAGAAAACGGAGCTTTAGCGCCGTCTGCATGCCCTGCAACAGCTGGATGTCATTAGGCTTAGGACTCATGTGCAGCAGATATCAACAAAAAAAACTTTACGTTCTTAAACAGAGATTTCTGTTTAAAAAAACACGTTGGCTGCATGTGTTTCCCCCAGCTGTGCAGTTTAAAAAAAAGATAAAAGGAAAAGCCCCTCTTCCTTTTTCTGACCTTATCAAAGAGATAAAGACTTACCTAAAACACAGAATGCAAATTAAAAAGAAAAACCAAAGCCTGGACAACTAAACTAACTGAAGGCACACTTTGGCTGAGTAAAGAAAAAGCATAAATGTTTCTATGGAGGAAAGCTTTTGGTCTGCATATAATACGTGTGGCATAAGGCAATTTTCTAAGTCATATCATGGTAACTAAAATATTTTGAGTTGATTGGACGAGCAAATTTAATTTAATAAGCTTCAAATGTATGAGTAAAATTTATTAAGAAATTTTATTTATGAAAACTTAAAATTTTCTGTATCGAAACTCAAAAATTTTGAGGCAATTGATTGCCTCAAAATTTTTGAGTTCTGGGAACTTATTCGAGTTTACAGTGATAGGCTTTGGGAGTAAAGCAATGCTTTTAAATCATTTTTTTGTCAACGTATTTAAAAAAATACTCTACCACACCTATTTCATTAAAAAGTTACCCATTCCAGGCTTGATCTATACCAGTGAGTGATCTACAATCGCACTCCTGTCAGTCGACCCCACAGGGGTAATAACAAAAGTACATGTATATACACATGTGCAGTAAGCTAGTATTGTAACCTTCGACTACTAAAAACCACGAATAAAAAAGAAAAACTTGGGTTCTAGAACTATTCAGCATACTGTAAGGGACACAGATGTACTATGTAAAGCCGGTATCGCACAAGTATTGAACACATACTGAGTATTGATTTTATTGTGTACCAGGATAAGGCAGTGCAGCTTATACTGAGGAGTTATACACTCTTACTGCAGAGGGGGTGAAGGACCTATGGTAGCGTTCTGTTTTACATCTGGGATGTCTCAGTCTGCCTCTGAAGGAGCTGTCTGTGGTCTCCACAGTAGAATGCAGTGGGTGGGAGGGGTTTTTAAGATGGAGGTCCTCTTCTCCAGCGTCCTCCTATCACACTTCTCCTTGACTGAATATAGTTGGCAGCCCAGAACCGAGCTAGCTTTGTGAATTAGCTTGTTCAGTCTCTTCCCGTCTCGGTCCGAGTTGCCTGCACCCCAGCAGACCACAGCAAAGTAGATTACAGATCCAACAACAGAGTGATAAAAGAATTTTAGCAGCTGGGAATTAACTTAGAAGGACCTTAGTCTCCTTAGGAGGTGGAGGCGGCTGTGGCCCTTCTTATAGGGCATCTGTGTTGTTGGACTAGTTCAGTTTGCTGTTGAGGTGAACACCCAGGTACTTAAAGGGATTCACCACCTCAATGTCTGCACCCTGGATTTTTACTGGTGAGTGGGTGGGGTGGGGGGGTTAACAAGCTCAGCTCATGTGTTTACATGCTTCTGTCAATGCATAAATAATAAATCTCTACAACATTTCAAAGAACAATGCAGGAACTATACAGCACAGCAAGACAGCCTTCAGACTAGAGGATTGTTAATGTCCCAAATTAACAACAGGTTAAAGGTTTTACATGATTTCAACCATTAAAATCATAAAGCAAAAACAAAAAATGTCTTTTTCCTTCATGATTTGGCACTATATAAATAAACTGAATTTAAATGAATTATGAAGTTAAAGTTCCATTAGTTCCACAAGATCCAAGCGGCCGAAATGAGTTTCCTCCGTAGGGTGGCCGGGCTCAGCCTTAGAGAGAGGGTGAGGAGTTCGGACATTCTGGAGGGACTCGGAGTAGAACCGCTGCTCCTCCGGATCGGAAGGAGTCAGTTGAGGTGGTTTGGGCATCTGGTCAGGATGCCTCCTGGACGCCTCCCTGGGGAGGTGTTTCGGGCATGTCCTGCCGGCAGAAGGCCCCCGGGTCGACCCAGGACACGTTGGAGAGGTTACATCTCCAATCTGGTCCGGGAACGCCTTGGGGTCCTGCCGGAGGAGCTGGTGGAGGTGGCTGGGGAGAGGACGGTCTGGAGCTCCCTAGTTGGGATGCTGCCCCCGCGGCCCGGACCTGGATAAGCAGAGGAAGACGACGACGACACACACTGGTGAAATTACATCTCTGCATTTGACCCATCCCCGTGGGGAGCAATGAGCTGCAGCTGCAGCGGTGGCTGCGCTCGGGAACTATTTGGTGGTTTAACCCCCCAATCCAACCCCTTAAAGCTGAATGTGAAGCAGGGAGGCATTGGGTCCCATTTTTAAAGTCTTTGGTATGACCCGACAGGGATTTGAAGCCCAATCTCACAGACCCAGGGCGGACACTCTACCATTAGGCCACTGAGAAGGTGGTTATAAAAAGCATTGTAGGAGACATATGTGTCATTTCTTTTTGCGCACTTGAGAGGAGGCTTTGCCTCATGTTATTAGTTAATTGCTTGTGGAAGCACCAGCCTACTTAAGCCAACACAGATTGGACTCAGGTGTGGCTGGATGGGACAAACAGTTTTTTACTGTGTGGCGAGGACTGTGGCTGTGTGTAAAGGACTCTGCGGACTGTCATTGGGGCAAGTAACGCATTCACTGAATCCCACCTTCATCAGCTTTCTGCGTGGAGTTTGCATGTTCTCCATGTTGCTGGGGGCCACTTTGAATCAGGTTGACTAATCATTAGTTGTTTTCTGAGATTTTCTTTCAAATTTGTCCTTGCTAAGGCTAACTGTTGGACGATTTTGGCGGACATGAGAAACCACACATGAGGTGATAAAAAAATCATGTGTACAACAGATAGTCTCTCAGAGTGTGGTGTATGCCAACACTGAAAAAATGACACAATAACTGATTTCACACCCAGTTATTCCCCAATCAGACCAGAAATCTCGCAAAACCTCTCGAGATCAAATGCGAGTTTGGAGTAAACAAACATGGCAGCGGAAGAGCTTGCCGCAAGCTAACATCACATTGCTTTCTGAGTAGCTACACCTCACATTCATCTGGCAGCACGTTGTCCTGATGAGCTTTCAAGCAGACCAAAAAACTCTTAACACACCACACACGGCAGGAATGTCTGATGAGAACATTTTTAAAGCCATGATTGTAATCAGTTAGTATAGGAATCTACACAGACAATAGTCAAAGCTAAATGATTTTCCACTTCATGTCAGCCACGCTCTATTGTAGCCTCAAATTGTCTGCCATGGGCCCGATCTGTTTTGTGTTAGGCCAATCACAGTGCTCTATTGGTTTGGTGAGCGTGATGATGCAACAGAGTGAAACAACTAAGATGGCAAAAAGCTTGTTTGAAACTGCTTTTGCATCAACTTGGACTATTTAGACTTGATTTTTTCTTTGAGTCTAGAGCAAATAGAGGTACTTAGATCATTTATTTTATAAAATAATGTATTAGCTTCTTTTTTGACTGTATGGAGGACTGTCCTGTTGGCTGACATTCATAGTGGTGTGTGTGTGTCAGATTGTTTGTTGTCAACTAGCACAAGGAGACAGTTTGAAAGACAACCATAGATTCCAGCCCACAGCTCAGTCCATGGGTCAACTATATATTCAGACATATAGGATGACTTGCCAGGCTAGTAATCAGTAGGTTCCTTAGGACTGTTGAAAGGAGAGAATTGGGTCACAAATCTACATGATTACCTCACTGTGTGAACCAGGCCAACCCCACAAACACAACAACAAGAACCAGTGATGCATAAAGGTAAACAAACTGCTGTAAATGTCTACCATAATTCAATGATAGTGTGATTTTACACTTGCCAACATCCAGGAGCATATAACCTTTCTGAAAACAGATCAATCAATCACTCGTAGCTGCACTGAGTCTGTCCATACAAGGCATGGAAACAACTGTCCTCCAGTTAGACCAGTGACCAGAGTCTAAATGATGCAGTCAGATTAAAGCCATGCTGCAGTGTTCCAGTTGGATAGGAATGTTGTAACCAGCCAGCCTAAGGCTCTCTTCATTATACATCTTCATTATGCCAACAAGCTGTCCTCTTGTCCTTTTTTGGTTGCAGTCTCGCATTAATCTAACGAGACAGACACCGAAGGGGACAGGCTGAAAGTACTGCCTTCATCTCTAATTTACACCTCCACCCAAGCTACACATTACTTATAGTATGGTTGTTTTATGTGGTAATGATCCTATACATCCTAT